CCTAAACTAATGCTTGAATGTCTAATGTTGACCTAAACTAATGCTTGAATGTCTAATGTTGACCTAAACTAATGCTTGAATGTCTAATGTTGCCCCAAACTAATGCTTGAATGTCTAATGTTGCCCGCTCGTGAATTCTAAACAGAATTCACAATTTTTTATCACCCTATTAGAACGTAAAAGTTTTTAGATGTCAACTCATTTTTTTTATTATCAAATTGCACTAATATTATTCACGCTTGAAAATGTATACTATTTTCGATTTAATATTTTACTATTTTATAATAGAGAACATAGAAGCGCATAGTCGAATTTTAGCTAATAAGGTAACATGAAACTACAAAAAACTGGTGTTCAATGAGTTTTGGGATTTAATAAAAATAATCATGATGTTCACAAGAAATGATAGTGTGAGTTATGAATTCGAGTTACTACGAACAAAAATTGTACATTTATTTGCTGGTCTCAGGGATTTTAGACTTAGCAGATCTACGATGCAGCGTCTTAAAAGACCATACCAGCAGTGGGTGAAGTCATTTTATTCATACATTTGGCTGCTGGGTGTACATACAGGGACCGAATCGACACTTCTCCGAACTTGCCTGCGGACTCAAACGCCAAAGCTAACTTTTCGCTCAACCGAGCCATTCATAAGTCCTTCTAAACTGAACGGATCTGCTTGAAATTTGGAATATCAATAGGTATTATCAATGCCCTGCGAGGAAATTAATTACAGATTATTGCATTTCGCCGTTTCCATTTAAAACGGAAAAGGCAATATTTAGGCAACCGAACCACTCATAAGTCCTTGAAGACCGAACTTATCTGCTCGAAATTTGGAATATAAGTAGCTATGAGTATGAGTTGGTTCAGGAATTGTCAAAATTAGATTAATTTACTATATTTTCAATTAAAGTGAGAACCCTTAAACAAGGAGATAATAATTCAAAGAATCGTATCAATTGTACACATGGGGTACCATCTAAGCTGTTAGGGATGTGATTCTGCCTAGTCTAGAATTTTGGTAGATCCTCAAAACTTGTTTAAGTTGTAAAATAGGCTTTGCGTGGCCAAACTTCCGAATCAATCATATTGCCGTGTTCAATATATAATTAGATGTTGATTATATCAAGTATATCCAAGGAACTGGGACGACTGCTAGTCCTTCTCATATCTCTCCAAGTAAAAAACGTAATCAAATTAAGAGATATAGGCAAAAGAGCATTGAAATGCTAAATACCTGCATGCAGAATTTGAATTTTATATTTGAAGTAGATCCATACATTATTGAACTACTTATTATCGGTTCGGTTGCCTAAAAATTGCGTTTTTTCGTTTTAATTAAGAACAATGTGATGTAAAACTCTGTAATTGTTTCAGACACAGCGCATTAATGATATCTACTTATATTCCGAATTTAAAGCAGGTCCATCCAGTATTGAAGGAGTTATGAGTGGTTAGGTTCCCTAAAAATTGCGTTTTTTTATTTTATTTGAAAACGAAGTGATGTGAAAATCTGTAATTGTTCCAGCACAGCGCATTTATGGACCTACTTATATTCCAAATTTCAGGCAGATCCGTTCAGTATTGAAGGAGTTATGAGTGTTTCGGTTGAGCGGAAAGTTAGGTTGTGCATTTGAGTCCGCAGGCGAATTCGGAGAAGTGTGGATTCGGTCATATTGGGTCAATAAAATTTGTTTTGTTTCAAACTAAGAGTATTTTGGGGTGCGTTTCATACAATTCCTTCTGTAGTCAGAACATGAATTACAATATTGAATAAAAAATTGTATCAAACGAACAATTTCTGCTAGAATAACGTTACTCGTTTTTAACGCGTTCAAGACATAACAGCTTTATTCCGGATTTCTGGTCGCAACTTGCAAGTGCAACCGATGGAGTTGCGGTTGAGGGCGTACGTGTGGGTGTGGCGGAGAGGAAATTTGTCCGATACCTTGTTTTATTGATTGTAGTGTTTCGGCTCCCTCAAAGTTTTGTACTTATGTTGGTAGATATCCAGGGACCAGGTAGGAGGAAAAAACGAAAGAGTAGGATTTATAATTCAATAATTTGATTGTATTCAATAATCCGATGGTGAATGGCGACCATGGCGGCAATTGCGGCGGGCGGCGGGGCGGGCGCGGCATGACCATTCCGCCTTTGCATTAGTTTGTAAGACATGCTATTGCAGCCATTCTCTGAGTCTGATCGCCCGTTACGTGAGGAAATGCTGAGATATACACCAGGTGCATCAACTTCAGGTCATAGTAAAACAAAAACATTTAGTGTGAATTGGCCTTTGGGCTTTGGTCATAGATGCTGCATGCTGATGCTGGCATTGCTGGGACGCTCCGAGGTTGTGCTGGAAAATGTTTTGATAGGTACTGGCTTTTTTTTATTCCTGGACCCTGGTCGTGGTCGATTATAGTTATTTACATGCCTAACAAATTCTACAAGAGCACTAATTGTATTTAGCCTGTTTTATTATAAATCCACTTTTAGTCATGACTAGAGCTTCCTGGCTATTTTGGAACCATGAGAATCATAGAATGATGAGATTCCCACACAAAAGTGTACAGGACTACAGGAGAGCTTTGAGATTACAAGGTTGTTGAAATTATGTCACTTTGGTCTTTGGAGTCCCAACTTCCCAAGTTTACAGAAGTAGGAGTGTAGGAGCCTAACAAATTTCAAATTTTGCACATTTGCTGGTATCTCAGAATGTGACTGAGGATTCTAACATTATATGTCAGCCATGTGCCATAAAAGTGCTGAAAAAAATCTATTAAAACTTTTGAGGTAGTAAATAATGTTGCAAATCAGTTCACTAAATACTAACTTAATCTATGTAAATTGTTATGCACAGTACCCTAATGCAGTAAATCTAAAAATTGAGAGATAATAAGAGTAGGACAATCCTATCTTGTTTCATTTTAATATCTTATATATAGTATATTGTTGCAATGTTTATTGTGATGTGATTGTGATGGACTTTTGGCACTGAAACTATTTATTTGTATTAATAGAATACACATGCTTAATAAAGTTTTTTTTTGTTCATTTTTGTTTCAGAACAGATACATGAAAGTAATTGCAAAAAGATCAAATGTGAAAATTATATGCCCCCCATTAATTTAGTATCCTATTGCTTCACTGTTTGGTGAGACTGGATCTGTTCGCCAGATGCCGCCTATTTAAACCTGAGGCCACCCAGGACGACCTCCTTATCTTCAGACGCGCCTTCACTGCACTCACAAACGAGAAGTCAGGTGAGTGAAGCTAATAAGTTTTAGTTCTACGAGTTGTAATCAGAATTTTTATTTGGTTCCTGACTTCCTGTTATATTTTTCATAGTATCATGCTTATTGTCTTCTGATATTTTCTCAAACTATAATTTTCTTTGTATGCATTTCTAGTCCAAATTTCATTGCCCATTTCTAAGCAACTTACTTGTTATATTAATTTATTCCCCATCTTAACTTCATAGGTTCAAACATTTGTCCTAGCTAGCATTAGACATTTATCCTGGCCCAAGCTGGTTTGCTACAAAGTGGAATTTTCACTTAAAACCTATAGTGAACATACCGTCAAACGGGGTAAAAAGGGACGGGCGGGGTAAATCGGGATGCGTGTCCCACATTTTGTAGAAATGTTGTAGCAGATAAACTAATCAAAATATTGCAAAACTAAAAATAGTGGCATAAACTTCAACATTTTTACTACCGTAAAATGGGGTAACTTAGACCGGCGGGGTAACTTAGACCACTTTTTGTTTTTTTAACAAAAACCCCCAAAACTCAAAAACTATTTGACATAGAAAAATTTTGTCAATGGGCATTAAAGGCCTAATACTGAGGCTACATAACACAATAGAAAGATTTAAAAAGTTTGCATATCTAATAGGTTAAAAAATTAAAAATGTGACCCATGAAAAAAAGCTATTATTTAAAGCTGGTCAGAGTACCCTCTCCAATTTTTTTATTTTTTGGTTACATAACTCCAGGTTTTGATGCATTGTCATAGAACTCTTCTAGTTACATATGCAAGTGACAAATTTTAGGAAAGTGTCATAGTTTACAAATTGGGGGCGCTGCCCCCAAATGGGGGAATTTAGACCACCTAATGTCAGCCCTGATGGGGTAACATAGACCGGCTTGGAAGTTAATATAAAATTACCATATATAACATATTTTATGTTTGACAGCATATTTATGTCTTTTCTTTGTGTTTCAGACTCTACAGAGTCTTATATATGGTAATTTTAACTTAATTTCCAAGCCAGTCAATATTACCCCATCGGGGCTGCCCTTAGGTAATCACAATTCCCTCATTATGGGCAGTGCCCCCCATTTGCAAACTATGACACTTTCCTCAAGTTTGTCATTTGCATATGTAACTAGAAGAGTTCTACTACAATGCACCAAAACCTGGAGTTATTTTACCAAAAAATATAATTGATTTTACCATCCGGTCGAAGATACCCCAAGAGCTGGGGTAACAAAGACCATAACTTTTTTTGAAATTACATAAAGACTATGAGAGCAGGAGCCAGCAATTTATGGTGAGTGAAGCTAGAGTATAGACCTGTATTTTGCATGTTTCAATTCAAGTTTAATTTAGCTAGTAAAACATGGCATCATTTATAAAAAAGTGGTCTAAGTTACCCCATTTTATGGTATCTATTATGTATAAAGCTAGTCAAGAAATCAAACATTTACTATCTTTAAAAAATTGCTGAAAAAAAGTGTGAAAAGTGCGATTTTGGAAAAGTACCTCTGCTAAGGTCTGGAGCAAAAAAAAATGTTCGCTGTATTAAAAAATTTTACTTACATAAAAGTTGCACCCAGGGTTGGCTTGAAAACATAATTGATGGAATTTGCCTATCCCATTCCAAAAAAATGGCAGCCATTTCCGCATGGCGGGGCTACTCGGGACACCCCCCCGGGGTAATTAGGGACACCCTAAAAAATGCATTTACAGTAGAACCTCAGTTAGCAAAGGTTCCAGTTAACAAAAAAATTGATTAACAACAGAATTTTGATTACATTTACCTCGCTCAGTGAAAAAAATTCACTTATCAAAAAATTAGTGCATCATCAGTTGTCACAAAATTGTACATAGAATGCTATACCTATATAGAATTTTGGTGTAGTTAGGCAGAAGCTTTTCTTTTATGCAAGTTTGATTGAAGACCAGAGCATGCTTTTTATTAACAATCTTCTTGTTTGTTTTTTCAATTAGTCGAACCAAATTTCTTGCTGGCGTCGGGAGATCGAAAAGCAGGTTTTCGAATGACATTTTAATAGTTTGCGACATTTCGAAAATACAATTTTCATTATCAAGCTGGTGAAGGTTTTACAACACTTGAAATTCAATTTGGAAATGACAGAAGTACATATGAATGGTATAGTGGATACAATAAAATAAATAATGTGGATACAACAAAATGTATAAACTTAAAATTACTCTGAAAATAATTTAAGCGTCCGGACGAATCCTGTAGTTTGGAGGTTGATAGCTGGAGACTCGTTCTTGATAATGAGAGCCTCAGCTATCATCAGTCTCGATGGGTCGGGGCACCGCATAACTATGCTGGTGCAGGCCTCCAATGTCGCTCGGGTGATGGTCTCATTGTGAGCTTCCTGCATGTGGTTCTTGGGTCCTCCAGATTGTAGATGGCATGTTAGTCGGCGGAAACCTGCTTTTCGATCTCCCGACGCCAGCAAGAAATTTGGTTTGACTCATTGAAAAAACAAACAAGAAGATTGTTAATAAAAAGCATGCTCTGGTCTTCAATCAAACTATATAGAATTGTGCACTGGGCATCATAGAATGAAAAGTAATTGACCTAAACTATGATTTAATCCTCCAAAACATATGATGGTTGTCACTAAAACATTATTTTCTGTTTCAGGTATGTTTTTCACGATCTTTTTTGTTATAGTGAAATCACTTGATTCAATTAAAATTGTGCGAAATCAAAAACCATCCTGTAAGCTTACAGGTACTGAAGTAATGCTACATGGATGCTGATATGAAGCTTGCAGTGGACAAGGACGTTAACAATGCTCAATGCCATGTCCATAGATACAGTAATATCACATCAATAATACGGTAAGTAATGAATATGGTAATATAATATCAATAAAGGAAAAACAAGTGAAAATCACAGAAAATGTCATTTATTTTACATCTACATCATCTACAATGAAAGAGGAGGACTTCAAGGTACTGTTAGTAATGGATGAGTACACTCTGCCTGCTTCAAACGTTTTAAAATTAACTTTTATTGCAAGTGTCCCGGATTACCCTGTTCCCAGGGGTAAATCGGGACGGTTTTATTTTGCGTCTGGCACCTTACGAATAGCATATGGAATTTTATTGAAGATGCCATTGGATAGCCCTCGCAAAGAGCTATAAAATGAGCCTAAACTTGTTTCTGAAATGTTTCATGGTAAGAAGTTATTAACAAAAAGCGCTCAAAACTGTCCTTTTTTACCCTGTTTGGTGGTATATCTAAGAATTTGTAAACTAAGAATTAGTTTTTAATTTGAAAAAATATGCTTTAAATTTAAAGTCTTTGCCAATCTGAGAAGTTGGAATACCCATCTAATATAAGCCCAAACTTGGAACTGCAGACTCGTGAGATAATAAATTAGGTAGTTATAATGTTGTAATCATGTGCCACACCATGATTCTGAACAAGGAAAATATTGCCTAGTATAATGTCACATGCTGTTAAGGGAACAAATCTATTCATCTATTAAAAATCTATTATTAATCTATTAAATCTATTAAAATTGATCCTGTTACATATCTTGTTAAATAGTTGGCAATGATTATACAAAGAATGAAAGACTGGTTTAATTGAATGATGACTATTGAATAAAATTATAGGACAGCAAATTGTAAGGATATATGTAGTAATGCTGGAGAGCTAATTATTCAATGGGCATGAATAAAATAAATTGGGAGGATAATTAGCTAATCATATAAATGGAGCATAGACAGCTGAAGCTCAGTTGTTGAGTTGCAAAAGAATGGACTAAATTGAAAGCACATTTTGAGTGATTGATGAAATCTTATGGGTGAATGGGACGTGTAACCTTTCTAATTAGCAAAAACCATTAATCCCTTAAACCTATTAGCAGCTGTTGTTTATGCTATTTTTTTCCTTAGAAACATGGTGGATATTTAAATGAGGTCTAAATGAGTGAAAATGTAGGAGCAGACAATTTATTAAGGAACATTTTGCAATCAGAATTGAGCAAAATTAAGCTTGTTCAGACTAGATATATGAGTAAAAGAAACTAATATGACACATAAACTTTTTCTAAATTCATCAGTTTCACCCTGCTAATTAATAATTAACACATTGAGTCTGGCATGATCCACCAGTGGGTTGCAGGCCTTTTTTTCTGGACAAAATCCGCAATTTAGATTTTTTAATTGCATTGTCAAGCAAAAAATAATGATAAAATTTATGATTAAATTTTATAAAGTATGAAAATAATTAAATTATTTTTGCACCAGAACCTGCCAATGCACATATTACAAATATTGAATCACAGGCCTTTTTGTCCACGGACCTGGCCAAAACATATGCAAAGCAGCAAAGTCTCAATAATAAAAAAGACACATCCAAACCAAAATTTTCAATGACAAATTAATAACAACATTCAAAAGAATGGTTGTATAGATAATACAGCTTCCACTGCTGCTGCAACATTCGAGGTGGATAATGTATTGATAATTTGAATTTTAATATATTTTTAATTTGGTTGACAAGGAAACTTTCTTGCCATCACCAGAGCAAATAGGTAAGACCTGAAGGAACAAACTTAAGTCCTTAGCATTTATAAAATTGCATTTAATGATGTTTTCAATGTAAGAAGCTATTAGATGATTTTATTCTTATTCATCCATGATAATCAGTCAGTATAATTGAATAAATTGGTGGTAAATTGTTTTATTTTGTTTAGTGCATCACATGTGAGCTGAACTTGTCAACCTCTTTTCCTAGTTTAAAGAAAATACTGAATATTTGCTGGAAAATGGAAGTGGTTATGTCCTTAATTTTATTTGTGGAAATTAAAATTTTAAAATGAAGGCAAATTATTCAGTCAAATGGGGTAATAAGGGACAATTTTGAAAATTTTTCATTAATAACTTCTTACCATGCAACATTTCATGAATTACTTTAGGCTCATTTTCAAGGTCTTTGTGAGGGCTATCATATGGCATCTTTGGAAAAATTCCATATGCTATT